AATGTTAAGCGTTATCTTAATATTTGCTTTTAATTTCACGTAAACAATCACATATAAGGCAGATGGCTTGGTTCAAATCTGTGATCATGAGTTGGACGTTTGTTTAAGAAACGAAAATATTAATGTTTCGAGAAAAGATGGGTCCTTGTACCAAGGACTGCTGCGTGGTACATGGACTTTTTTAGGCCAGACAAACTGACCCTCCTGCTTGTTAGAAAGTCGCTGCTTTAAATAGATTCTTGTCTGTCGTTCTTCACGAGATCTTGAGAGAATGGAGTTGATCGTAGAGAAACATTTATGGCACAAGTGTCTAGAGAAATCGATATTACAGAAGTAAATCGAGTTAATCTTATGTATTTGAGTGTTTTTGAGTAAAACTGTTAATTCTTTCGCAGATCAGTGTCGAATGTTTAGAATTATCCAAAGTCTTCGGCTAACATTGACATCTTCAGGGTGAATGTGTTGTGGTTGGGTGTTCTTGGGAGCTTTATACAGGACTGACAGTATGTGGCGAGTTGGATTTGATGGTTTTGATTGATGTAGCGGAAGAAGAAAATCCATGAATCTTTTTCCCGTTGCTTGAATTATAATAGGTACAAACTGAACCCAGATCTTAGATAAAGTAGTCTGTGCTAAATCAAGCATCTTGACATGAACACTTTCTGAAGAGTGAGGGCGTACTGGATAGGGGACAAGTCCCTTCCCCAGCCACCTTACCCCGGTACCCATTGGATAGGAGGCTGGTTGGGCCTCAGAGCCGGTCTGGACGCAGTGGTGAAGAAGGAATCTGTTCTCGTATAAGGAGTCGAACCCCAGTCGTTCAGTCAGTTAGCCTGACTGACTGACTGACTGACTGACCTACCCAGCAGCCGTAATTATATAGCACCTGTAAGATTTCAAACGTATAAAATCTTTATTACAAGTTTCAACTTCATCGGCAGTTTTTAGAGAGTAATAACTAAAAAGTATTAAAATGGCTATCTTCCGGATAGTAGTGCCGTGTAGTATAAGTTCATAGACGTTTCAGAGGTAAACACATCCTAAAGAAAGCCATCTTCATACTTACCGCCGTGATAACCTAAAATCCTGTTAAATTGAAGGTAGGCATTCATGAACTTCACCTAACCTACGTTTAGTAGGTGATCATGAAACAGTTCATGTGTTCATAGAGAGTTCTGGAAATGCACTAGCATATTACCGGTGGCGTCTGTAATGTTTTAACCCATGGGTCGCTGTTCAAAACTGGGTCGCCATGATTTTCCTTAATAAGTTGAAATTTCCTGCACAAACGACTATTAGCGTAAAGTGATGGGTGGGTGGTAGTGTACTGTGATGGCGGTAAGTATACTTAACGTTGAATTGGACAGGTTCATCGGCATTTGCCGTAGAAAAATCTAAGCTTCTATACCGACTGCAACCAGATCATATGTTAAAATGTAGTCTTTCAAATACAGGTCCACGGCTTGAACGACTTTCAAAACTTGTACGAAGTCAAGGTTGACAATAATATATTTTTAATTTTTTATTTTTATATAATTTGTCTTATTTGTGTGGTTTCTCAAAACTATTTCATACTGTAACTGAATAATGTTTTAGTTGTACATTAAATTTTAAAATTTATGTCATACTGATTTGGTGCATATTTTAATTCACAACTTAACCGTGGGTCGCAAAACAGAATTTTATCTGCGTCTCCGTAGAAAATGTTAAGAACCATTCATCTGTAGGTATATTTGAAATAATAGTAATGTTACGTTTGGTAATAGTCACATTTAGGTAAAGCTTTCTTAAATTAAATAATTATTTACTACATTGATATGTCTGAATTTACCAAAAATAACTTGGTAGATTCTTCTTCGGAGGCAAAGTGTCTGAATCGTGAAGCTATTCACTTACCTCCATCTAGAGCTAAAGTTCAGAATAACTCCACTTCAGCCGTACGTTCCTGTGGCGTACAAAGAACGTTCTTGCGCTGGAATATGAAACAAGTGAATGGTTTAGCACACCGATAAACTGATCTGATCTGATTCGAGTTACATACAGTAGTATCAAAAGTCACACGGTATATGCACCCATCAAATAATGGAATACAATTCATATGCTGTTCATCTGTTTTAAGGGGTATTTGCTAGTCCAATACAGCTTAAAATTTTAGCATTTCAAAATCTCATTAATCAAGAACTGAGTGAGTAGTTCAGTACATTCCTAGCAATGATTTGGCCTATTCTGAATTACTTTTATTGGTATAGTCTTTGAATTATGCTAAATACAACAGTAATCACTTGATTCACATTTTTGGAATTGTCCTAATAGAAGGTGGGCAAATTATATCTGTTACATTAAAACATTTAATCCTATTTCAGTATTTTATTCCTTTTAAGTCTGAAGCACATTTAAATAACATCTAAAAATATAGTTCATACCTCAAAGGAAACAATTTATTTCGAATACAAAGATGAATTGGTTAATGCTGTTTAGATAATTAATTGCTGTTTATTCAGAGAATCGTAGATAAAATCTGTAGGCAAAATTCAGATATCCATTTATAAGATATTGTAGATGCGTCATATTGTGATGAAGATACAATATGAAGGACAAGAACATGATAAGAAAAATGAAAACTAAAAATCAGTAAAAATCAGTAATTCAGTTAAAAAGTTTATAACATAACACCTGATGATGGCTATATATAGCCGAAACATATCGTAAATGTTCCACATGTAAATCGAGTACTCGATAAGGAACGTAAAATGATATTTTAATCTTTTAATTATCTTATATTGTGATTGACGGCTAATTTTAATATATTTTTAATACTAGATATCCATTGTTAAAGCAGGTGGTATATATGAGTACCACTGGGCTTTAAGGGTTAAACATTGCAGTGAATCCCGTACTAATCGAATATTTGTACGAATATTCGCTCAAAAATTGGAGGTATATAAGTAATTTATAGGTAGGAACGTGCCTGTGAACTGTCATAAGCTTGTTCAGTACTGAAAGTCCCGGATTGAATTCCGTTTATAACAAAAGCACCATTATTGTGCTGTTGTTCCGCTTAGACGGTTGTTGCAGTGTACACAGAGAGGAGGCACATGTACTCATTTCGTAAATAAAAACATCAGAAACTTCCTTCCGAGAAATCTTAGTGTTCTCATTTTGTGCAGGAATCTTTACGATGTTCTTGTAAAGGAATGAAGGATGTAATCAACATCACCATCTTGTGGGAATATCTAGAATCATGGAACTACTAGAGTTATATTTCCCTCCCC